TTTTCTTCACACACATAACCCATGCATATAATCACAAATATACTTTCCCAAGCATAACGAAAAAAACAGGAAGCCTATCTCTCAACACATAGTAATGGAGGGAAGATAAGTTCACAGAACATTAGCAGACTTGAAACCCTCCCTCCATAAAAAAAGAACCCTAAATGGTTCTAGGACTTAACTGAAGTTAAAGAAATGTTATAATGTTATGTTCCTAGAGTTTTGCTGTAATGTAGTATAGAAACTATCCTTGAAAAATAGTCTCTATTTAAGCTAATAGGCTCCTGCTTGCTCCTCTAGCTTCTGTTTCCTGTCCCTACCCTGGGGGGCAGGACAGTGTGTAATACACTGCAGCTCAGAGAGCTGAGGGTGAGTCCAGAGCTGTATGTGTGTGTGGTGCAACTGTGAAAAGGGGTGCCCACATGGATACATGGCACTGTGGTGAGGCAACCACATGGGTCTGTGGTGGAGGGAGGAACTCTGCAGAGCACAGCAGGGAAGTGTCAGCACAGCATAGGGCCTGGGACACCCAGAGCTCACCCTGGTGTGGCCCCAGGCCTGCAGCCTCCACTGCTGCAACCCAAGGGGTGCACAGCCCCCAGCCACTTAGAAATTGGACAGCCCTGATCTAAGGTAAGCAACTATTATTAAGATTAGAAATTAGGTAGGGGAACAGAAGATAGAACCTAGAACCTTACATTCTAGATCATGATGGAAGGCTATCTGTTCCTATACTGTCCCTAACCCTCCTTCAAAGAAAAATCTAATACCTCCCAATTATGAAATAACTGGAGCAGGGGAATGGTTTGTGTGGCAGTGCATCTTTGGTACCTGCCACTTAAAACGTAGGAGCAGGTAGCTGCCAGGTACCTGATGATGGTAGCCATTTTCAAACATAGGCCAGAGAGGCAGCAGTCTGTGTTGAGCAGCCAAGGAGGTAATGTCAGGCTGAACTGCTCCTTGAACACCTTGGAGGTAAGAGTGAAGCTATGAGGATGGAGGAGGCCCCATTGGTCCTGGACATGACCTGAAACTGTACCCTGCCAAGATAGGGAGGCCTGGTAGAACTGCTAGTGGTGTGGCATCCCCACTTAAATACCAGGACCATGAACCCTCCCCAGTATAAGGCAGATGGGGTGCCTAAACCCCAGCCCCCACCTTCGGGTGGGTTACTAAGAGGGAGAAATGGGGCCAGGCATGGCTGCAGCCACCTCAACCTGCAGGGGTGCAAGACTCCGGAGGGCCTGGGGAGTTGTGTGGCCCCAGAGAGAGGGAGTAGTTGTGTGGCTCCTGGGGGGGCAGCTGTGGAGCCCTAGAGAGGGGGTAGTTGAGAGACCCTGAGAGAGCAGGGGTGTAGGTGAGCCTGCCTAGAGTAGGGTGCATCTTCAAGACCTGAAGAACTGGGCGCAATTCGGGGTTGAGTAGAGCTGAAGGGATGGTCTGAAGAGCAGCCCCAGGGGGTGTGTTGAGTAGGGCTGAAGGGCAGACAGAAGGGCAGCACAAGGGCCAACCCCCACAAGATTATGGTGTTGTGTATATAAAGCCCAGTGAGGGGCTAGGGCAGATTTGGCCCTCCATATGGTGAATTGGCTGGCATGACCCAGGTGAGGGTAGCAGGAAAGGCACAAATGACTGCAAGTCACCAGCCAAGGCATGATTCAGATAAGCCTCATGGCCAGAAGGGTCATTCCAGGAGAGAGCAGGGCAGAGTGGAGGGGGCACAGTATGGTCCAGCAAGCAAGAGATCCTGTGAGAGGGGGTGGAGTTTGAGAGGCCCTTGTGAGAGGGGGGAAGAGTGTGTATGTGTGTGTGTGTGTGTGTGTGTGTGTGAGCAGGGCAGAGTGGAGGGGGCACAGTATGGTCCAGCAAGCAAGAGATCCTGTGAGAGGGGGGAAGAGTGTGCATGTGTGTGTGTGTGTGCGAGCAGGGCAGAGTGGAGGGGGCACAGCATGGTCCAGCAAGCAAGAGATCCTGTGAGAGGGGGGAAGAGTGTGCATGTGTGTGTGTGTGTGCGAGCAGGGCAGAGTGGAGGGGGCACAGCATGGTCCAGCAAGCAAGAGATCCTGTGAGAGGGGGTGGAGTTTGAGAGGCCCCTGTGAGAGGGGGGAAGAGTGTGTGTGTGTGTGGGGGGGGGCCTGGCAGAGGACTAGGTTTTGTCCGGCTTGTGGCCGGGAGTATGATACCAGTGGGTGCTGTCTGCAAGGCATGGGCCACATGGTAGGGAAGGTACAGAGCTGTGGGTAGCACCCCCTGGCACTGGAGCATATAATGGGTAGTTTCCCGCATTTACCAGCAGTTTACTGTACCAGCAGAGTCGTGGCAGGAGAGATGGGATGGACTGCTCTCCATAGACAAGCTGGCGAGCCAGCTCGAGATCCAACCCCAAGTGTGTCCCCTGTCACAGTTTTTTTAACCTCATATAACTTGGGGCTCATTACTACTCTGAAACATAAGGATTTGCATGAATGTAATCATTTGAAATGTCTTATTTATTAACTTTGAATCCTCTTTCTAGCCTTTTCTTTAAATCCTTATGCCCCATTTTCTTATGGCAGTGAGTTTCACTGCTTAACAAGATAGTTTGTAAGGAAGTATAATTTTTAATTTAATTTTCTGACATCCATGCCATTCATTATTTTATATCACTTAAACGTATTTCTTATTAATTTGCTGTACTGCTATACACTGTTTAAATGACATCTCTGTTAAATATACTAGTCTTTGTCTGTCTCTATTTGCCCTACTCTGGACACTATTTGGAGTGATCAAAATTGAAGAGGAACATCTTCTGTTGTAATTTCTGCCTTTTTTATTATACTACCTCCCCCAGGTAGAAGTTTGAGCATTGGATTGCAAAACTATGCCCACATATCCCTTCTCTCCTTATCTACTTGCCAGTGAGGGTTTTCTGTACTGAGCCTGTCCTCACAGGGCAAAACTAGTCTGCTGCCCTAGGATCCAAGTAGAAAACAGATTGTGACTTTGAGTCACAATCTGGTCCCTGCTTCTCCCTTGCTTCAGGGAGAAAATAAACTGTACCACTCCTTTTGCTTACACAGCTAGCTTTCATTTTTATGCTGGACAAGTTGGGCTGAACTAAGTCTGCCCACTAGCCCGCTCACCTTCATAGGAGACAAATAGCGGCCCATTGGTGGCCACTGTCCCTCTCATCATTACTGTCCATGCAGAGTCTACCCATGTGGATAAATTGTTCAGTAGCGCAAGGGGTTTGCTCATAATGAGTGAGCACAAAAGAAACTAAAATTCAGGGCAGTTAGATTTATCTTTTACAGCTAAAATGGTATTTGTTATTTGAAAAATATCTCACATTTCTCTGAGGATCGATACCTTCCTTGCCCAGTGCATATTCTATTCCTGCTGTCTGGCTATTAGAGACAGCTATAGAAAATAAAGGTGGTAAAGGATAATGCTTTCCAGTTGCAAATTTTTCCCACCCCATTCTCCCAAAATAATCAGATTTACCCTTATCCCCACACCTGTTATGCTTTATCTGTAAAGTAAGTAAGAGATTCTGTTTCGGGGTTTTTTGGTCCACAATGGACTAAGCTGACTAAATGGAATTCCAAAAGCTCTGTCCACTTAAAATATCTTACATTGAATTCAAACTAGAGGCATAACAAGGCAGGCAAACATCTATGGCAGCAAGATGCTTGGGGGCAGCAGTAACTTCCAGCTGCTGCCATGCTGCTGCTGATGCAACTGGGCATTTTTCTCTGTCCCTCCTCCACTCCACCCCACAAAATTTGACACCCAGGACACCTGCCCAAGTCACCCCTCCCTAGCTGTGCTACTGATTCAAACATACGTGCAAAATTATGTGCTAGCCTGTGTTTATATGTTTAAAAATTCTGCATACAGAGCTATGTTGCCACACTACTGGACTAGACAACTTCCAAAAGCTAGTAAAAGTCACAGGACCATAGGAAAAAATTTGATATGTGACACTCCAAATTGTTGGAAGTTTCCTTTTTTAGAATTTGAAACAATTTTGGCAAAATTAATACATTTTCTTGAAGGATTTTTATTTCAAAAGAACCATTTTCTCTAACAAAAACTGTTCCACCAGTTTGACCAATTAGCACAGAATATATTGAGCATAGAAACTTTTTAACAATACATTTCTGTGAATTCTTCTAACTTTGATTACTATTACTCACAGAATTATGTTTCTATTTGAATGAGATGTACTAACTTCAAGTTAGTATAGACGGCTAGCAATTCAGCATGGCATATATACATCTTTTCTTTAAATCTTTTATCTTTTACAATATTGCATGTTCCACTTTTCTTGCATGTAGACCTATTAGTCTGACTTTTCAAAGCAATACATACTGTGCTTTTAAAAATAAAATCCATTCAGATTTGCAGGTGACAGCCTCATGTAAAGGGCTAAGTTCATTTTTACATGTTCTCACTGCACAATAAATTCTGGATTGTGTCTAGCTGAGGGTCCAAGAGTGCATTTAACAAGGAGACTGAACTTTTAACCTTTCAAGCTTCCAGATTTTAAAACTATTAAAAATAACTGATAGTCCTTGTTGCTATTGTTTCATTCAAGTAAAAACTAAAACTTACTGAGCATGCTGATATATGTACTCAATCAAACTGGGAGGGGAGGGGGGGCATCCCTCTAGGTTAGTATCAAGACTTACCAAGGAAGGAGATGTGGGAGAAGCCCCTGCTTCAGTTTGATTTGTAACCAGCCCCTAAATAGTGAACTTCTGTGCTTTGGTTTCAAATGTGAACTCATTCACTCATGTACAAGCTTTCAACCATACAAAGGGTTACTAGGTCACTGTCTGCCTCCTAAATTCACGTTGCCAGATCAGTTATGCTGTCTGCCAGTAGTTAGTGATTGCAAAATCAGGCACCCCTTCATAAGTATTTCAGAATACCATTTTCATTTTATGTTTATGTTATTTTATGAAGTTGACAGGAAAGGAAGCCAAGTAAGAATAGATCTCAAGAGCTCTATTTACCTTTTTGTCTTCATGCTATTATACTCTGAAGGTATAAGTGAGTAGCAGCCGTCTCTGTGTGAAGTTATAAAGTGGCATCTCTCTTTCCTCCTTCTTGGAGGAATAATATGATGAGCAGTGAACACTAGAGGGGGAGCTTAACCGTTCAGGAGAGTTAAATCTCCAGACCCTCTGGGAGAGGATCAGAGTGATACGATAGCTACTGACTTAAACAAGCAAAGTTAAGGCATGGACAGCCATGGTTCAGAAGTCAAGAGGTCAAGAATAGTAGAGAGCCAATTTATTGTCATTTTCCAAAAAGGCAGCAAATCATAAGTGGAATTGAGAAGTTTAGGGCTCTGCTTCTACCATGATGTGGTGTATTTTAAAAACCTCTCTGGAGGCAGTTTAACATGAAGAGTAGGATTACAGGGATTTTTTTTCCCAAGGACTGTCTGTCATTTAAATGTCTGAGGAATGATAGAATGAATTATCATAAAATTTTGACAAATTTGATGGCTCAACCAAAGGGGGGAAACAGACATTCCACTTATTTGGTTCTAATAAGACATGACATTTAAAATGAGTTTACATGGCAGTTAGACCTTTGCTTTCTTCCCTTTGATTCGGAAACATTTGTATGTGTAGAGCACTTATTTATAGCTGATGCTTGTCTAAGATAGGAAAACATGTTCCTTTTCAGCCTCTGCTCACTGTGTTTTAATGACTTTGTGCCTGTATTGCATATTGAATAATCATATACTTTTAATTCAAAATCTTAGCTGTTATTGTAGAATATGTGTGAATCCAGTAATATAATAATTTTAATATGTGCTCACTGAATATTTTCCTAAAATTGTTATAATTAGCATGCAACTAGGATATAGATCATATTGTTATTTTTTACACTCATTTCTTTAAGCATTCAAAATGTGAGAATAAAAGAATCATTTTTTTCTATCAGTACTGTATCTCTTTCCAAAATAAAAGCCTAACCAGCTTCTGTTTGTATGGATGCAAAGTTGCATAAGCACATATGCCTTTTCCAAGTGCAAATCCTTTGGGGGTTTAGAGTGAAGCTATAGGCACACTTTGGGGCACACTTTAAATTGCTGCTCCGTGCACCCTCAAAACCTCATTAAAATGGGATGTGCACATGCATATTATAATGTTTACGCATATGCAGGTTCTGAAATCATTCAAATGCATATCGTTTTGCACCTGGAATACTGTACATTTATGTGCCAATGCAATTTAGAAATGAAAATGTGGTTCCCAAAATTGGGTTACTTCATTTCACAAGCCCTTCAGCACACTACACTTTTGTGCTTCTAGGTAGCCACCAAATATAATGAAAGTCTTTGCCCTCCCAAGCTCAAATTCCCACGTGGTAGAACTCAGAACAGACTAGTGGGGAGCATACTGTATGCGCTGAGGAGTATAGCAAAGAGATGTTATTTAAGTGTGTTATCTGTGACGAATTCATGCTATAACATCGCAACTTGGGGTTGCACCCTACCAGCAGGGACATCCCCAAATGGAACCAGAATGTATATTTTAAAACATTTAAATAAAATACAATCAAGTCTTGTTTCTTTTTCAGATTGTTTACCACTTGGTAAGGGGATGCTAATTCTAGTTGCAAGTACTAAAAAAATATATGTTTCTATTATTCGTATTATAGCTGCAAGGTAACAGATAAGCAGGAATTAGGTAAGTATGTGTTCATATCTGGTTATCTAACATAGGTACAGATTTCTTTCTGTAAGAGCCTCTATAAACGATTTTTCCTCTTTTTCCACACTTTACATGAGAATTAGGTATTTTTATTCTTCTTGCCTCTCTCCCTAGAGGCTCTGCTTCATGCTGACCAGTTAGCCACAGGTTTCTTTGGAATATTAGCACAGACCTTTAAAGATGCTGCCATATCTCATTTCACTTGTTTTTAATACTCAACTGTCTGATTTAATAAACTTTAGTATATCGTGTCGTATCCAGGTGATGCAGTAGCATCCTTCAGTCTCCTCCCAACTTATCTGGAATGATTTTGCCATGTTGGATGACAAAAGCTTAAATTCTACGCAATGAATCCAACAAAAGATGTGGGCAGAATGAGTGAGTGTCTTTTTCCATGAAGACACCAAGTCAGAGAACATTAATGGTATATATTTTGCTATCTTTTCATCTGGTATTTACAGTGGTGAGTTTCCAAAGACAAGGGTTTCCAGTGTGGGTGTTGGTTCACCAATATCTAAAGCCAGTCATCCCATATTCTGTCTCCTCCAGAAGCCTAAACATATGTTGCTCTTTGTTTGTATGTTGGATCCCTGTAGAGAGATTCATAATGCCAGTTGGGTCTGTGGTAAGTTGGCCTGGAGGTTCAAGAGAGATACAAGGGAGTAGTGGCACACTGTTCTGACTCCAGATGTAGAGGGAATAGTAGATTCATTCAAAGGACTTCACTGATAAAGTCCTGAGCCACAGAAAGTCCAAGCCAGTTTGGTGCTGCATGGGAGGAGTGGGAGTGGTTCTTCGCTGCTAGTACCGGACTTACCTCCACTCTGACACACAAGATGGGGATGGCTGGTGAATTTTGTTCCTTAAATATGCTTAGTGTCTTTACCATAAATGCTTTTTTTCATAGCTTAAAAGGTCATTAGAACTTGTTTCTTAAGGGTGAAAAGAAAAACAATCTTACTAATATTCAATTTTCCACCACAGTCTTTAAGCACATCCCTGTATATAACTATAGCATACATACACACATATAGAAATAATTTGTATTACAGTAAAAAGTAGCATAGATTAGGAAATTTCTTCATTTCATAAACATATTACTAAGTCAGTCAGTATTGGCTTTTAATGCTCCCTAATTTTTAATTTTGTTTATAAATGATTAAATATTTTGAAGATTAGCAATCGCTGAAATTTATATCTGTTCCCAAACTCTTAGGAAATTCGCCACTAATTTATATTTAAATTCACCATTAATTCACATGATTCCCTAGAAATCATGGTTTTTTTCTGTTGTCGGTTAGTCATGGCATTGCCTAAAGAAGCATCGTACCTTTTGAACTTCAGAGTTCCTCAGGCAACCAGAGTTGTGCCTGTGTGCGTGCCTATAACTGCCCTAGTCTTGACAGGATTGAGCAGTTTGGCATCTACCTTATGCTTAAGTCCAGTCACGTTCTAGAAAATAGGTGTTCACTTAAGTTCCCTGAGGTTTTCAATTCAGTAGTCGTTCACAGGGTGCACTTAACATGCATATACCAAATTTGGGTTCCACATTAAATTAGGGGTTGTTGAAATTAGAGGTTCTTGCCACTTCTTCTTAACAACTGGGAGGAGATAGAACTACCCATTTTTGCGTAATTGCTTAAGGTTAGAGCTGTCAAATGGGGGACATCAAATCCTCATTTCCCACCTCCAAAGAGACTACTGTCACCACCAGGCTGTAAGCTGTATTCAGTGGTAACATTGTCCACTCCTCCTATTGAAGCTGTGCCATGGTATGGAAAAGTAATTCAAGAATCTTTGATGCAAAAAAAAAAAAAAAACCAAGAGGGGGAACAATTCTTTACCTTGGGAGGGAAGTGGAATCCTACTTCAGCTGCCTGCTCCTAGCACTGGTTGTATATTTTATTCTATTACTATTTAATGTAAAATACAGAAAAAAACCTGTAGGCAAGAGGATGGCTTTCACTGTTCACATTTTAAGTGGTCAGGCATTACATTTCTATCAGGAGAATTGCTACTCTCTCTCTAGAACCTGGGAACATACAAGCATTTGTGCAGTTTCTCCTGCAGGAAATGTCTTCATTCTGAGAGAAATGTTTTTCTTTCAACAAGGAAGATCTGTTCTGTGGAAGACTTTCTCCCATAGGAACAAACACGTGTACACTCCCTTACGTGACTCTCCCCAGGAAACAAGAGAGGTCCAGCACAGTGAAATGCTGTACATGCCTTCCCCAGATCCAGGTCACTTCAGGCTGGAAACACATGGGGAGCAGCAGCAGTAGCTCGACTTTTCCTAGAACTGGGAGGAATTGGGACTGGGAAGAGTTGGGCAGCTGGGAAATGCTCTGAAAGCAGCTCCCAGACTGGGGTCATGACGAAATGTCAGAGAAAAGGGCAGGTTCTGATCTGTTCTTTAAGAGGAGGAGGTTACCTTTAAGATAAGGTTCTAGGAGGTGGATCAAAGCAACTGAAAGCACCACCCTGCAGCAATGAGGGCAGAAGTTGGGATTTAAGAGAATTCCTTGTCCTCAAGAGTTCCAACTTGACCAGCTCCAGGCAGCTTCCTGCTCAATGTTCTGGATCCCATTTTTTTTGGTACCTAACTCCATGTCTAGTAAACCTAGTTATCTAACCTATCATTCCATTCTAGGATTCAGGCACCAGAAAGTTAAACATACAGCACCTAACTTTTAGGCTACTAAGTCCTTGGATCTAGTCATAAATTCCTTTTCCAAATGTGAGTAAAGAACCTAAATCCATTGACTTTTAGTAGGACATGAGCTTGTAAGTCACTAAGACACTTTTGAAAATTCTTTCCTGCATAAATATCATGCTTGTTTTTAAAGGGGTAGATGAGGTACGGAACAGTTAGGTAAAAATAAATATAAATGTTAGTGAAATGACAACTCAGACATCTTCTCTCCCATTTCCATCTCTATCTCCTAAACTGCATTTCCAAACTACACTTTTAGCTAGATGCCTATACTGATCCATGAAATAACAGTACATACAACATATATAGATAGCGTGATTTTTTTGAGCGGATGAACCCTGTACTTCCAATCAACCTAAGAGGCTAAATAATTTCAGAATTAATATTTGTCCTGTATTAATAATATGCTCTTGAGGCCAGTATGTTACAAAAATGATAAACCATTTTTAATAAACTAACTTGTCCATAGTGGGACAGAAGAACAGTTTCAGAAGTCTCCAAATAAAACTTCTGTCAAGGTTTTTAATTACTGCTGAGGTATAAAGGGGAAGAGCTGAAAGCTGCTTATAGACAACTAAAAGAATAATGAACATTTTTTCACAAAATTAGGGATGTTGTTTGGAGGAGAGAATGCAAAGAGTACAAAAAGGTCCATAATAGAATATTGTCTATAGTATTTTTGTAAGTCATTAAATCAACTCAGAAAAAAAGATTTAATCAACTCAGAGACAAGATTTAAGGGGTAACTTGAAAAAAAAAGAAAATGGTATCTGGGAGTGAAATGAAACAGTGATTTGGATTGTTCTTCAGGTAAGAATAGAAAAAGCAATGAAAAGCAGAATGATACTATGATTGTGGGTGAAATCGTGGAAAGTAATGGAAATCTACATTCTCCCACTTTTCTGGCACTCCACAATTCTAACTTCCCTCAAAAATCAGTTCTGAAACTTTGCCTACTTTGCTTTAAAATGTATTGCTAAGAGACACCTTTGAGTTTAGACATTGTTGAGGAATGAAGTTAATGGGTACTGAGAGGACATATACAAACTCAATCATATGTAATTATAATATCCAGTCTTTGAATGAAGCTCTGGGGAAGATGAGACTGCATAGAATAGGGTCTCGGGATGGACAGGAGATGCAGGAATGTAGGATCATAGGAAAGGGACCTTAAAAGCTCATCTAGTCCAGCCCCCTTCTCAAGGCAGGACACCCCTGACTATCCCCAACCAAGTGCCATTCCAATCTGTGCTTGAAAAATTCCAGGGATGGAGGTGCCACAATCTCACTAAGTAGCTGGTT